TTTGATTAGATTCTGACTCTGTGAAATCTTTAAAAAATGTCACCAAGCACAAATAGATAATTTGCAAATTAGTATGAGATGCAACAAATTTTTAGACTAACTATAATTATCTACAAATATTACGTCTGCACACATATAAAAGCAATCAAGACATAGTCTCTCCCATCCACACTGAAATGCTGAGATCAAACTGAAATGCTGATTTCAACTCAAACCTCTGGTTTATGACTGACATGCCTTCATTTTGCTTCCACTTAAATGCTTTTATAGCTCCACTAAACTGAAATTGTGTCTGAAATGAAATGCACTGATATTCATCATTAACCGGAGAAAAGGAAACTTTTCCAAAGAGCATGTAGTCTCTTGTTGCGCTATATCTCAAATACAATATGGGGTGATAGAGCTCATCCAACCCAACATGTAAAAACCAGCTCTGTTTTGCACCTATGGAAAATGCAGCTGCACATATGGTGCTCTATTGACTCTGGGAGACTTTGGACAGATTAATGATCTCCTAAGTTGTTTGTCTGCAAACCTGAGTAACACCTTAAATGCCATAAACGCTTCAGGACGCTTGGCTGCCTTTGTGAGTGTGTGTGTTGGGGTGTGGGGGGGTTACTGGACTGAAATGTTTCTTTTATTACTTTAAGTATTTTTATTACATTTAGCTACATTTCTTCCTATTAAATTAACATCTTTGTTTGCCTAGCACAAAGAACAATCCATGCCTGTGTATCACTCTACTAGATGACAGGAGCTGTAATTCAGATTAGTTTCAAGCCCTTGTCCTCTGGCTGTAGCTGCCAGTTGGTATTTAGCATTCACATCTAATAGCTATTTAATAGTCTTGATACCATCAACTTTACTATACCACGGTATTCAGACTTGGCACAAATCCACCCCTCATACTGCAGGATATTGTCCACAGTGACATAACAGGCTGGTTTAAGGGGGCCACTGCTCTTTTCCTATTGGGGCTCTGTATGTTTGTGCTGTGGATGTGACACCCCTTCATTGGTGAAGAACTGAAATAAACAAAACCAGGAGAATTATTTTTTTTTAAAGCCACAGGAAGAGAAAGCCAGGTATTTTTTATGGAGTTTATTTTGTACCCCTGGAAAAAAAAGTGAATAAAAAAGGACAACACTTGCTCTGCACCCTTAAGGCTCCTAAAGTGCTCCCTAATTACCATTCTCTTTCCCAAGGTCATAATGGAATGCATTCCAAAATGGATTATGTTCCCACTCTGGCTCTCTCATTCTTTCTTTTTTCTCCTTCTTCCTTGCCCCTTATTTAATTGCTATCATTCTCCCTCCTTCTCCAGGTCCCCTCTCTTGTTAATGGCTTACACATGTCAGCCGAGTGGTTGTGGCACTGCATTAAAATGCCCTGGTGATCTGTACCATGCTGTTCCTCCCATGGCTAGATCACAGTGTTCTGCTTAGAGTACACAACCCCAGTACTCTGCCAACCCACCTGTCCAAACCACACTATCAGGATCCCCAGTCATCTGTCACTCCGCCAGCCCTTTGTAACTGCCACCTGTTTTCAGTGACAAAAACAAGACACGCTGAGTGTCTGACGCACACTTCTTTCACCTTGAGGGGTAGATATTGTTTGTATCACTCTGACCTAAAAATCAGACCATTGACAAAAGCCATAAACAATATTTCAAAATTGGTCTGTAATTAAAGCAAATCTTAATATAATCTATCCTGCACAACACTTGGAACAACCTGCACGCTTTACGTTACATGAAACCAAGGTGCACAGGAGATGCAGGTGCGTGTGTAAATCCAAGCAAGGAAAGTGAGGGACTGATATTCAGGTGAGGAGGGCTCTAGCTGCTGTGATGTAAGTACACTTGTGCATGTCATCAACAATGGCTGCCTGTGAAGCAAAGCCCTAAGGCCACGAATAACATGCAGCAGCTGTAGCTCAAAGAAAAAAGCCTCTCTCTATCTGTTTGTCTCCATCATTTAACCATAAGAAGAGAAGTCCAAACCATCAACAAAGGACCAAGTAGGCCTGAATCCTTTGGAGCTCTATAGACTCCTTGGTGCAAGTTTTCCACAAGAATGTCCCCATATGTTTCACATTATAATTCGTCTCCAATACACCATAGCCCACAACAGTACAGAACCCCAAATTATAGGCACTGCAAAACACAATTCATTGAGGAAGACATTTAAGGTTTAAAAAGAATCAAAGATGCCTAACCAAACTTTGGGGAGTTCATTTTAAAGGCTTTCAGTAATACTTTTCCACATTAGAAACCATAAGAACAGTGCTTGCTCAGTTTGAATGACTTCTCTGTCTTCAGATTCCTGCACACACAGACATGCAGTCATCCACACACTCCCGGTTTTGGTAGGACACTGCCGAATTAAATACAGAGAGCAGTGCCCTGTTTTCCTCCTGGAATAAATTGACAAAACTCAAAGAAATGTGATTGGGCAATGTAGATGGATAAAGCGCGCGGGCACGAGCGCGCGGGGGGTATTCTGTGTGTGAAGTCCTAATCCTGCTTTTGAGTACAGACCAGCCCAACTTTAAAACCCTCCCTGCTAATTATTGACCCTGGAAACGTTCAGACGCCGTGCCTTACCTTTTCAAACTCAAAGCGAGTACTCAGATTCTTCGATTTTCCTTTTTGATTCCGTTTGTCTGAGCTGTTGAAAGAGAAATAGTGGAGTAAAGTCCTGAGTCAAAGAGTCCTCAGCCCGTCATGCAGGCTTACAGCGGCCTGAGAGGCTCATTTTCCTGTGCTGGAATGTGCTCTCAGGGTGATCACAAGCGCTTCTGTTGGCTCACTGTGTCCCGGCTGGACCCGGTTATCTTAATTGGGGCTGCCGGTGATAAACTAGAAGCCCTTGCTCGATTGCCGAACTGCTGCCGCTCCTGCCTCCTGCTGTTGCTCTTCAGCCCCCCACCCCCAGCACACTTCCTCCAGTACAGGCGGCCGCTGCCGCCGCCACAAGTCCTGGCACGGGATAGTCCTCCCACTGCGCCGCCAGAGACCTTCTTCCCTCCCTCTTTTCCCTCCCCTGTGGCCAACCTCCCCACAAAACTCCATCACATGTTGAGACTGGACAAATGCAAAAACGTTGGCGTTACACCATTAGATCAAGAGATGTATAAGTTTAAAAGCACAAAGTATAATTCCAGAAGTTAACCTTTTACGCAGAAAAGTTCCCATAGCCTAAATCGGGTGTAGCCTTCATGGTTATATGTGTAGAGTTGGGCTTCAAATTAAATTAACAGATCAAATGATGATGAATGATGTTCGTTATTGAAAAAACTCTCTTATCCTAAACTCCAGTGGTTTTGACAGGTGGTCAGTTTAACTTTGGGGTGCAAAAAAAACTTGCTTGACAATTTATATTTAATGCTTGATTAATATTATCAACAGATAGTGACAACGCATAAATTTGAACTATAACAGCTCATGCATTGCTTTTTTACAACTTCATAATTTTGTATTCATCCCTTTGGTAAAATGTTGGTGCTGTATAGCTCACAAGCTTGTCTTAGAATAACTATTAGCGCCATCCATAGTTACATAACAATGATTACTGCTTTTGATCCAAGAATGTGCAATAGTCCCTCTTAATACAGTGGGTTGTTGGAGTTTTAATTGTGCAATATATCCAACAAATAAATGAATACATGAATGAGTGAATGCATCAAAACTGTTAAGATAACTTTATTTTTTAAATCAGAGAAATAACATTTTAGTGGCAAAGAACATTCGTTGTTTATCAGTACTTTGCAAGAAGTATTTTAAGCAGAATCTCAAGATTTGCAATTAATAAAAATGTTTCTTTCTAAAAACTAAAATAAAGCATACATGTCAAACTGTAATAAAAGTAACATTATTTACGAGTGCCTGAAGCTAAAGTTAACAAGTATATTCTAACATAACAAAATGCTAAATTCTACAAAAAAGCAGCATATTAAAATATGCTCATTCAAAATGTGTGGATTAGAACAGTATGGTTATAAGGAACACATTTACCACCAACACCAACTCACCAAAAAAAAAAACTGCAAACAATCAAAACATTTAAATGAATTAGAATATAAACAATCTTCCCAAAATCAAATAGCAGATATACTTTTAGAAAAAAATGTTAAAATGTATTAAAATTGCATGGGAATTGTTAGTTAGTTAGTCTTAGGTTTATTCTTTTTCTAAGCTGTGTTTAAAGAGAAAGGATCAGAGCCGAATGTGGTACTATTGGAAGAAAAGCTGTAGGTGTAAGTAGAGGAGTAATCTACACTGCCTCTACGAGATCCACTCCTGGAACCAGCCCTGGACCCAGAGCGAGATCCTGGGTTAGAAACATTGTAAGGGCTGCTGATTCCTTTAGTGGACACTGATGAGGCCTGCAGCATCTTCATACCATTGCTTTCCTCCACCATGCAGCTGTCCATGGCTTCCTTGTAGGAGACTTTCAGCTTTGTCTTTGGACAGGTCAGGATCTTCTGGTGGTTCCGTGTATCCTGAAGCTTCATGGCCCCTTGACCATCTAGCCAACGCCTGCGGATAGCCTCTTCAATGGTAATGCGACGTCCAGTGCCAGGCTCAACCAATCCTCCTGTCACATATTGAAACTCCAAGAATCTCTGACCGGCCTCATAAGGCAGCCATGTCTCTTTTACTGCCTCTGCTGCAGACATCTTTCTTTTAGTCTTCACATCCTCAAAACCAACATAGGCTTTCTGGGAAGGTTTCAGCTTAGTAGCCATACTTTCATCAATGATGCCCTGATGAACAGCATCCTGCAGTGACAGTCTCGAACCAGTAGCAGGGTTGATAATGCCACCTGTGCATGCCTGGGCCTCCAGCAGTCTCTGCGATGTAATAGTGTCAACTATACCTCTTCGAAGCCCTTCAGAAATAGTTATCTTCTCCAAGGTCTCTGTGTCAAATATGGCTGCGACAGGACTCTGGTCATCAAACATCTCAGGGGGAGAGACGGTAATAGAAATACTGCTCAGGCGTCTACGAACAGTAGGGGAGGATGGTGCAGCCTGGGTAGGGCTGTTGCAGGTGAACATATCTGCACTGCCGCCTGCAATGGTCATCTCGGTGCTGTCAGTTCTGCTGGTAATTTGGTCTGCAAACTGGGTCAAGGTTAGTTTTCCAGCACGATACTGGTCCAAAGATTTCTGGTCGATGAGGCCACGTGTCAGGCAGTCCTGGATGTCATACTGGGTTCCTGTCTTCCTATCCACTATCACCAAACGTGAAGAGCCATCTGACCCCTTGATAGTTATTTCCTCCCACTCACACTCCTGCTCCGATAAGTCCAGGAAGGTGTCATAGTCAATTAGCTCCCGGTGAAAGGCCTCTCTCACTGACATCTCCAGCCCAGTGTCTGGGTCAACTATCACAACCCTTCTCTTACGGAGGACATTGGTACGAGTGTCTTGTGACTTCTGGGGTTTCGTCTTGTCTTTAAGTGGCAGGAGAATTAGGCCAGTTTTGGCATCTGTGATGCATCTTTCCTTCAGCTGAAGATATGTAAGGTTGTCCTTGGTGTTAGGGTCAAAGAACCCTTTTGTGTCATCTCCTTCATAACTTAGAATGTCATTCATCTTTTCATCAAAATATCCCCTTTTATAGGCAACAGCGACATCAATACGGTGGCTCTCTTTGGGGTCAATAATCCCACCACTAGCAATCTGGGCCTCAAGCAGACGGATTCCATGACCTTTCTCAATAAGCTCTTTCTCAATAGCCTGGAAGAGGGAGATTGTCTTTCCTGTTAATGGGTCTGTGTATCCA